TCACAGCGCTCGCTGGACTAAACAGACGCTCTGTAGATGTAACCACACAGACACACACAAACGCGTGCATAAACGCACATACATGCGTGCCCAAACGCACATACATGCGTGCCCAAACACACAAAAGTATTCTCTTACACTTATACTATAAGTATAAGTATTCACTTTGATATATGGTCATGTATAGTGTTTATCATTGTAATTTTGTTATTCTTTGATTTACTGTTATTGACATAAATACAGCGCCACCTAATGGATGAATACTGGACATTCTTTCTGCCATAGTTTTTCATGGGCTCTACTTTTAATATGTACATTTTGACATTTTTTGGATGAGTACATTTTGAAACATTCGAGCAACACTTTGTGGATGTGTGTGCCATAAAACTTATTATTTTACATCAAAAACACTTTCTCATAACTTGTTGCTGTTTTCTAACATGTAAGATCCTGAACATGTTTGAGGAGATGCTAAAGTCAAACTAAATAGTTTTACAATCACTTTTCGGCAGTTCGTCTGTTTTCACAAACACCTCATTTTCTCAGCTTTTTTCAAAGACTGGTGCTTCTTGTTACACTCTCCTTTTTTCGACTGGAGATCACAGGAGAACGAAACAAACTAAGAACAAACTTCTTTTTGCTGCTGAACGTAGACAGTCCAGTCTTTCAGACTCTGGTTTCATATTTTTCATAGCACACAATATTCCGTGAGTCTTAAAAATCAGTGAAGTCATCAAAAATGGCTGGCAGTCAATGAGAACCTCTTTTTTGTGTACAAATATTATGTAAAATTACAGATTATAAAGCAGTCACATACAAATTATAAAACAGCCACATACAGATTATACAACACTAACACACAATTTCTTAAAATTACGGATTATAAAAACAGTTACAGGATTTCACTGAAGATGTCTCAATCTGGATCTAAAAGCATTCAAGGAAATAAGATCAGATCCTTTCTAGTCTTTTTGTAACACGTTCCATGTAGAAGGAGCAGCAAAAACAAACGTTTTTTTTTCCCAGTTCTGTGCAAAAGGAACAGAGCAACAAAAGATCATTTGATCCAAACATGAACATGTCTCTGTGAGTAAACGACAGATGTCAGAGGGCAGCAGAACAAGCCTTAGAAACTAAAGTGCACCAGAGTCCAAGACAAAGATCCCACTCCAGAATATCACTCACAGTGAGGCTTTGCAGTTCGCAATGAATGAAACATTTTAATTGAATCATTATTTAATCAATCAATCAATTTTTTTTCTTTTTTCCTATATTTAAGCGCAGTCTTACTGTTGAAACTGTAAAATATTACATTAAATATACTTCTTTAGGAATGAAACCTCTGCCTTGTTTTTGATGAATACTTAGGCTTATTACGCTACTGTGTAGTGTTGGTCATTTGTGGTGGTACTTGGAGAGGCAAGTATTTTCTGAGGGGGTACTTGGTGTGAAAAGTTTGAGAACCACTGGGTTAGACTACTGCAATGGCCTGCCAACAGGTCTGTCCAAAGAGGCTGTCAAACAGCTGCAGTACATTCAAAATGCAGAAACTCGAGTCCTGACTAGAACCAGGGAGTACGACCACATTAGTCCAGTCCTCAGGTCTCTGAACTGGCTTCCTGTGGCTCAGAGAATAGACTTTAAAACAGCACTGCTTGTGTACAAGTCTCTCCATGGCCTTGTACCAAAATATATTGGTGATATGTTGGTGCCATATGAACCGGCTCGGACTCTGAGGAGCACAGGGACTGGCGTTTTGCTGGTGTCCAGAGTGAGAATCAAACATGGGGAGGCGCATTTCAGATTTATGCAGCTAAAATCTGGAACAGTCTCCCTGAAAATGTGAGAGGCGTCTACTCTGACAATGTTCAAATCCAGGTTAAAGACTGTTCTGTTTGCCTGTGCATACAACTGAAGGATTTTATCTCAATTTTTAATGCACTGTGGTTATTTATTTATTTTTTAACACCTTGTGTAATTGTAAAGCTCTAATGGTTTAAAATTCTTGTGTGATTTTAATGTTTTAATTATGATTCTGATGTTTGTTTTATCAGAAAACAAACCTCCCTTCCCACCTCTGCACCTTCTCCACCGACTCCCACTGATGACTGCTGTCGTTGTGTCCTTGGGCAAGACACTTAACCCCACTTTGCCCAAAGCCCCCACTGAAAGATCAAGGCTATGCTCACAGTCAGAGAGCAGCCGTCCTCCTGTGGACTCACCACCTGCAGAGGGTCAGTGAGGGGCTGGTGCTATGAGACTTGGGTGGCATCTCTGACTGTCACCCCCCTGACCCAGAAATGGATTAAAGGGAAGAAAATGGATGGATGGATGGATGTTTGTTTTATGTGATGATTTATGCTTTGGCTGATGTGGACTGTTAAGCGCTTTGTGTTGCACTGTGTATGAAAGGCGCTCTACAAAGAAACTTTGATAAGATTTGAGATTTGATAACACTTTTAAGCAACTTTTGTTAAAGTTAAACTCATCATTCTTACATGTGCAGAAGCCTGTACTTTTCCACTACTTGTTTTGACTATCTCTGCTGGCACTATGGCAGCTGCTGATTGGAGGTCTCCATGCCTCCGCTCTGTATAATACACTTGCATTCTGTTGTATCTGTGTTCGTGTGCTTTGTTCGTGCTGTCTCTACCATTGACAATAAAACATGTCTTCTGTCTGAATTAAAGACGTGATCCCAGACTTTGGCTGATTCTTCAAATGATGTGGCAAGCTCATAGAGACTTATCCAAAGCAACTTGGAACTTTGATTGCCGCAAAAGGTGGCTCTACAAAGTATTGACTTTAGGGGGGTGAATTGTTATGCACATTGACCTTTTGTTATTTTGTCCTATTTGTTGTTTGCTTCACAATATAAAAAGACAACATCTTCAAAGTTGTGGGCATGTTCTGTAAATTAACTGATGCAAATCCTCAAACAATCCATGTTAATTCCAGGTTGTGAGGCAACAAAACACACAAAATGCCAATGAATACTTTGAATACTTTTGCAAGGCACTGTAGCTCCTGTTTTGGCTGTTTACCGTATGTTCAGTCTGCTCGCTCAGACCGCTTCTGTCCCCGTGATCACTTTGCAGCTCTGATTGGTCGATGCACGAACGTCCGAGGAAATGTTCAGCAATATTTATCTCCTGCGTGCGTCAATATTCCGCTCCTGCACCTCCCCCGCGACTTTCCTGCGCGTCTCTAATGAGCAGTCCGTGCGTGCATTCCGAGACGCACAAGCATTTTGATGCTCGAACGCGTCACCATTGACTTTGCATTGACTTTGCATTGAAAGCCGACGCAACGCATGATCCGGTCTAAACGCGGCATAAGAGTCAGATGTTGGAGTAAAGTTTGGTTGAAGTACTAGTTTAAGTGTTCCTGTTTACCACACTATGCAGCAGGGTTGCCAGGTTGGGTGGTTTCCCGCATACTTTTGTTCCAAGAGACTTGTAGGTAATAAATAGAAAGACAGAAACATGATAGTCTATGTTGATTACTTTACGTTTTTAGCCAAAAAAACTTTTCTGGGTGTTTTTTTTTTGGGCATTCTCACGGGTTTTGGGCTGGAAAATCTTGCCGGCATTTGGCAACCCATGGGAGTTGTGTGCTTCAATATGAGTGGTTGAAGGAACACGTCATTCAAGATAACAGACAAGTGGTTTACCCAATCACATACAAGGATTTTTTTTTACAAGGCCCTGCTTCTGAAATCCATCCGCTATGGCTCAGACCTAGCCTGGTCGTACCACACCTTAGTACAAATTACATTTCATACTAAGGTCTGGATTTGCTCCATTGAGCTCTGTGAACAGGTGGGAGGGGTTAACTCCATTTGCAGAACCGATTGGATCCGAGTTTACCGTGACGTATGTAATGCGCCCGAGTGTGTTGTTAGCATTTAGCCTAGCCATCTCCTCTGCCACTAACGGAGCCCGCGGGGAGTAGCGCCACAATCTTGACCAGCGATTACATTTGCTAAACATTCTTCTTGCTCCTGCTTCAATTTTTTGACAGAACCAGACCGGATTACTTTACTATCGCATTCTTCGCCATTGCCAAACTACAACCTGCCCGTTCGGCGCAAACTCTTGACGTCACCAGCACCGACCTAAAACACCCGCCTTCCGCGCTCTCTGAGTAGCCGGTCGAAATACGACCGATTGTATTCGCAAACACAGGGACCAGACCCAGACGTTACATGCAGTGAAATGAGGATTGAGCGGAGTGTACGGATGGCTATGGTCAGGCTAGCTCAGACCCAGACAATGTGAAGAGAACTACAAGGGTCTGGCCAGAGTCAGGCTAATTCATGTCCCTCATAGTATTCAATTGTAATACAAAATTGAGAATTGAAAATAACTCTCAAAAGTCACATTTATTATGGTCTGCACATTAACTGAAGTGCAAACAATTAAAACGTTATCCTTGAACACACAGGACCTTATACATAATTATTCTCTAATAGCCCTTCAGAGTTATCTGCAACACATGCAATGCCATAGAGTCTACAGCATTATCATTATAATACAATCAGTTGGAGCCAAAATGTGTGCTCAGGGTTTGCCACTAGAGGGGAGTATGGGATGACTGTAGTGCAGGGTAGTGCATGAGCACTGATGCCGTTTGGGATGGTTCTTCGGGCACTGAAGATTTTAACGCTAACATGCATGAATTCAATGGACTGTTTTTAACCAATAATGAATTAAAATGGCATCGCTTTTAAACTGAACAAACAACACTTTCTTACCATCGTCAAAGCCAAGGGACACTACATTATCAACTAGTTTAACAAAATGCAGCTAATACATTTATCAGTAGAAGAAAACAACCTATACTCGGGGGAATTACAAGGGAAACATACACCACAGATGTAAATTATGGACTAAACACAAAAATTAAAAAGATATTTAATTAAATATTGCAAAACTTTGCGTTATGCATCCGCATTCTGACCAGGCCCTGAACCCACAGGAGAACATGTAGCCTGTTACCTGGCTGCTTTTGTCTGGGCTTGGGCAGGTTGGTGACACACGTGTGCGGACACATGAGCACGTTACACGGGTGCAGTCCTCCCTCTAAATACAGCTGTTTGATCTCCGACAGGTGGATGCCCCCCAGGGGGGTCTTGGGCAGAGTGTTAGCCGGAACCAGAGCCAAACAGAAGACTCCCACACCGTGGATACTGTCGATGGCCTGCACAGAGTCACAGGAGGCGTTTACTGACACCAACTTTAAGTAGTTATGACATTTAAAGAACACAATGAATGTAGAGGGAAAGACAAGGCCAGTCCTGTCACAAATGTCCACAACCAAGAAATTATTCAAATCAGTTAATTGTCTTTCACCAGTTCATGATTTTACACACACAACGGGGCTGATAATCAACTCTAAAAATAAATTGTACTGAGGATGTTCTTAAACTCAATGTATATTATATAAAAAATAAATGTAAAAGTGAATTAATGTTGGATTTTGTTCTGTTTTCACCTGAATCTCAAATGGATTCAACTCAAGAGAAGAAAAGGAGGAAAAAGTGATCTCACAAAAACATTCCATAGAACCATACACAGCCACAGTGACCGGCACAGTTCCTAGTTCCATGCATTAGTTGTGATGTTAAAGTCACCTGCAGCACTCGGCTCATCCACTGGAAACTGTCTTCTTCTGTGGAGTCAGGTCTTTGTTCAGCCACCACCACGATCCTCTCGTCTCTGAGAACCGTCACTGAAAACACTGCTATCCTGAAACGGGTAAAGAACATATACATATGCATACATACATAGTAGGGCTGGGACAACGCATCGACGTAATCTATGACGTCACGAGTGCCGTCTTATGGGGCGTTCAGACCGCCAACGCTGGAACGCAAATTCCATGCGCAGTAGACGCACATTCTCTAAATTACAGAGGCTTGGGGTGTTCAGACTAAAAGTCCTGGGCTAGCGGAGTTAAGCTAGCGGCTCTTTGTGTAAAGTACTTCTCCAATAATGCAGCTCTGCAGCGTCTCTGTATCCAGAGACCTTCAGACTTTATATAACAGCAGTATGTGTTCACGGAGGTGACTTTATATAACAGCAGTATGTGTTCACGGAGGTGCGGCATACGTTTATTATATTATTAGACGGTACTTCCGAATCGGCGAACATGCTAGCTGCACTAGTTTAGTCACTGGAGAATGTAACTTTGGCTGGAGGCACATGTTCCAATCCAATCCAACTTTATTTATAAAGCACTTTAAAAAAAACAGCGTCGACCAAAGTGCTGAACACAACTATGAGGATTACATTAATAAAACAGTAAAAACAAAAGTACAAAACATTCCAAAGTCGAACTTCTCAGGTTGTGTTAAAAGCCAAGGAAAAAAGGTGTGTTTTAAGAGAGGATTTAAAAGGAACAAGAGACTCTGTCTGTCTGAGGTGCAGGGGCAGTGCGTTCCACAGTTTAGGACCAGCAACAGCGAAAGAACGGTCGCCTCTGGTTTTTCTTTTTGTTTTGGGAACAACCAGCAAAGACAGATCTGCTGACCTCAGGGAGCGTGCAGGGGTATAGGGCTGCAACAGGTCAGACAGATACTGAGGAGCAAGACCATGAAGACATTTAAAAACAAATAAAATTATCTTAAACTCAACACGATATGAAATAGGGAGCCAGTGCAGTGACCTCAAAACAGGTGTAATGTGCTCTCGCCTTTTGGTGCCAGTTAAAAGGCGAGCAGCAGCATTTTGTACAAGTTGAAGTCGAGCGAGAGACGACTGATTGAGTCCAAAATAAAGTGCATTACAATAGTCTAAACGATTTGTGATAAAAGCATGAATTAAGATCTCAAATAAATGCTGAGGAACAAATGGTTTTGCTTTGGACAGTTGCCTGAGCTGATAAAAGCTGGACTTTACAACAGATCTGATCTGAACGTCAAGCTTCAGAGCACTGTCCAGCGTCACACCGAGGTTTGTCACAGTTGGTTTTAAGTATTCTTCTAAAGGACCCAAATCCACAAAAGAGGAGGGGGCATCTTTTGGGCCGAGCAGCAAGACCTCAGTCTTTTTGTCATTTAAATGTAGAAAATTTAGTGACAGCCATTCATGAACTTCCTCAATACACTTCAAAAGTTGCTTTGTACAATATCCATTGCCATGTTCCAACGGTAAATAAATCTGGCTGTCATCAGCGTAGAGATGGAAAGCAACATTGTGCTTACGCAAGATGGACCCGAGTGGCAGGAGGTATAGTGAGAACAGAAGAGGGCCAAGTATAGAGCCCTGGGGCACACCATATTTTATGGGAGCAGTGGCGGACTCTACATCTCCGATTCGAACACAAAAACTCCTGTGCGTAAGGTAGGACCTAAACCACTTAAGGGCACTACCACGAATTCCCACCCAGCTCTCCAAGCGAGACAGAAGTATCTGATGATCTATTGTGTCGAAGGCTGCGGTTAGATCAAGCAGGACAAGTGCAACACAGTGGCCAGAGTCTGTGGCTAAAAGCACATCATTAAGTACTCTTAGCAGGGCTGTCTCGGTGCTGTGACGATTCTTGAACCCTGACTGGAACGTCTCAAGAATGTTGGACTCCTCCAAAAATGTTTTTATTTGGCCGTAGACCACTTTCTCCAATACCTTGGAGAGAAAGGGGAGTTTTGAAATGGGCCTAAAATTTGTTGAAATGGATGAATCAAGGCCAGGCTTCTTAATCAGTGGTTGAACAGCAGCATGTTTAAAACAAGTGGGGACTGTCCCAGTAGTTAAACTACCATTGATAATGTCAACAGCAAATGGCGCTATAGTGGGAAAAACTTCCTTAAGAAGTCTGGGTGGAAGTGCATCGAATGGTGAACCAGAGGGTTTCATTCGACCAACTAAGTCACTCAAGAAGGGCAGACTAACACGCGCAAAATTATTAAAGACAGCAGTACAAGAAAAAGGGATGGATGGGTCAGAAGTGGGCAGTACAATGGAAGCCCTGGTATTTTCTACCTTATTAGTGAAGAAGCTTGAGAACCTTTCACATAATTCCACTGAGGTTTCCATACAAGATGGTCTGGGAGCATTAAGCACACAGTCAATAGTCTTAAACAGAAAACGAGGATTATGACTGTTTGATAGAATAATATTGGAAAAATGCTTAGTTTTTGCATGCTTCACAGTTTTTTGATAAGTGCACCAGCTTTCTTGAAGGATCTGAAAAGAAACTTGTAGCTTGTCCTTCTTCCACTTTCGCTCAGCTCTCCTACAATCACGCCTGGCAGTGCGTGTTGCCTCATTTAGCCAAGGTTCACTTTTGAGCTTGGGGAGCTTTGTCTTGAGTGGGGCAACTACATCCAGAGAGCTTTGACATAGTGAATTAAAGTGAGAACAAAGTGTCTCTAGATCTACATCACTGTGCCTAGACCCCAAATAAGCCATAACCTGGTTTTGGAGGAAGACGGTGGAGAACTGCGCAGCAGTAACAGGGTTAATTACACGACACTGCCGCGCTGCGGCGCATGGTTCAACCACCTTGCACAAGACAGGAATATCAAAAACAACTGGCATATGATCAGAAAAGAAGGCCTCATGAACAGTCACATTGGAGGCACTAAAGCCGTGTGTTAAAACCAGGTCTAGCGTGTGTCCACGTTCCTGAGTCGGCCCAGAAACACACTGAGCGAGATTAAAAGAGTCAATAAGATTGAGGAAGTCTTTTGCCAGTGGCTTATCAGGACAACACACATGTATATTAAAATCCCCCACAATTAAAACTTGATCATATTTGGGCATTATTTCGGAAAGAAAGTCAGCAAAGTCCGTGATAAAGTTCTTATTATATTTAGGCGGTCTGTACACAACAGCGCACAACATCCGCGGAGACGAACCCAGTTCAAATACATTTATTTCAAAGCTCGAATATAACGCCGTTAGCGTGAGTTGCTTACATGTAAAGCTGTTTTTGTACAGTGTCGCTACACCACCACCCCGACCAGTTATCCTCGGGGAATTGAAATAAGCGCACTCGGGGGGAATAAGTTCAGCAAAAGCAGCGGACTCACCGACAGCCATCCAAGTCTCTGTGACGCACAAGAAATCCAGCTTGAGGTTTAAGAAGAAATCCTTCAGAATGAACGTTTTGTTGGCCAACGACCTAGCATTCACCAATGCTATTTTGGCTGTAGCCCGGGCTGGGGCAGTAGCCGCAGGAGGAGCCAGGCACAACGAACGCAGGTTACGGGCGTTTACTCCACGCCGCTCAGGAACACGAAAGGGCAGAGGGCGAGTCGAGGAGAACGCACCCGAACTCAGCTGAATCAGGCAAGGAGAAGGGGGATCCAGAGTGCGCCACGGGATGAAACGATGATAATCCGGTTCAATATTCTCCAAAAGACGCAACGGGGTGCGGGACATCGCTCTCAGTTTCACCAGACGACCGCTCCGTTTCCCCCGGCGTCTGCGTGCTCTGCGCGGAGGAAGAGCTGGCCCGTGGCGCAGGTAAGCCGGTATGCCAGAAAGGAGTGGGGCAGAGAAAGTCTTCTGGCCATTGTGCTCAAACTTTACCACATTATCAAGTGGAGGACGGAGATTCAAAAGCGTTTGGCGATCATACACGATCAGAGAGTTGACTTTGGATGTGACAATCCATATAAACAATAAAAATACAGCTAACGCCCTGAGAGAGAGACAGCGAGCCGCACACACTGGCGCCATCTTCGATCAGGTACTTTGCATTTATGTTTCCGGATTTGATTTCCTCTGTTGGTTTTTATGGCGGTTCATGTTGGAGTGAAAACACGTCGACAAGAGGTAAATGCATCAACATCAAATATATGATGGTGGAAACGTGGCCAGAGCTTGTGTTTACAGGAAGAAATGGTCTCTCTCTAGTCTCTCTCACTGTTCTCTCTCTCTCTGGTCTCTGGTCTCTGTCTCTCTGATCTCTGGTCTCTCTCTCTCACTGTTCTCTCTGGTCTCTGGTCTCTCTCTCTCTGTTCTCTCTTTCTCGCTCTCTGTCTCTGGTCTCTGGTCTCTCTCTCTCTCTCTCTCTCTCTCTCTCTTCTCTCTCTCTTTCTCTCTCTGTGGCTGGGATGAGATTTGGTTTATCAGAATGTGTTTGTGGTCTGGGTCTTCGCCTCGTGGTCGTTCAAGGACACAGCGACCGGCTCTGAATGATCAACGCAAACAGGGGCCTCAGATCCATATGTATCGGCGGACGCTCGTTCCCAGAATCCTCAGCTTTTATCACAGAGTAAACACAGAGTAAACACAGAGGCTTTGAGCTGCCGCAGCTCTGTACACAGCTGTAGGTCACAGACGAGCTGTGTGCGAAGGTCCCAGGTGAGGAGGAGGAGGACTAGGAGGAGGCCAGAGAGTGAGAGACTAGAGAGAGAGAGACCAAAGAGAGTCCAGAGAGTGAGACCAGTGAGAGACAAGAAAGAGAGAGACCAGAAAGAGAAACCAGAGAGAGACCAGAGAGAGAGGCCAGAGAGAGAGGCCAGAGAGAGAGGCCAGAGAAGAGAAGAGAGACCGGAGAGAGAAGAGAGAGAGAGAGAGAGAGAGAGAGAGAGAGAGAGAGAGAGAGAGAGAGAGAGAGAGAGAGAGAGAGAGAGAGAGAGAGAGAGAGAGAGAGAGAGAGAGAGAGAGGAGAGAGAGAGAGACGAGAGAGAGAGAGAGAGAGAGGAGAGAGAGAGAGAGAGGAGAGAGCAGATGAGAGAGAGAGAGAGAGAGAGAGAGAGAGAGAGAGAGAGAGAGAGAGAGAGAGGCCAGAGAGA